AAACAAAACAAACAAAAAAAAACAGACGAAGAAGACAAAGAAAGAGAAAGAGAAAGAGATGGGAGAGATCTGGAGGTAGCCTGGGTTAAAGCCATCCTCCTCCGAGGACTCACTGCAGACTTTCTTTCTCAGCAATCTAGCTGACCCTCTCACCTACCACCTACGTTTTGTTGACTCATATTTGCTTTCACAGCTGAAGCAGTCACTGTGAAAGGATAGAAAGGAAAGCTTTAGGGGCCATCTATTCCAAATGCCGTCTCTGCCACCAGCCAGCTGTACGATGACTTAGACAAGTTACCTAACTTCTCTGCCCCTCAAGGGCCCCATCTGTAAAATGGAACAATAACAGCACTGACCTGCCTGCAGGGTGGTTGTTGCTACTCAGTGAGATAATGCATAGTTTGGGGGCTCAGGGTATGCCTGGGTTCTAGCCGTATAACCATGTAACTTGCCTCTCTGCCTCAGTTTCCTCGTCTGTTAGGTGTGAGTAATATGGTGTTACTTTACAGGAGTACTGTGAAGAGCACATGAGTTGATGTACAGTGTGCTTGGCCCTTGGTGGTGGTTGGTGAGTGCTCAGTCGATCTTAGTGTTTGTGACAATGCTGAGACAGAGACTCGGATGCCAGTCCCATAATGAGTTCTCAAAAGCTAGGGCTTTAAAATAAAAAGGCCCCTCCTGGGGAGGCAAAGGCCATCTACCTATGAAGCCTGCAGCCCGGCCGGTGTGGCTCAGTGGTTGAACATTCACCTATGACCCAGGAGGTCATGGTTCGATTCCTGGTCAGGGCACATACCCAGGTTGCGGGCTCAATCCCCAGTGTGGGGCATGCATGAGGCAGCTGATCAATGATTCTCTCTCATCATTGATGTTTCTGTCTCTCTCTCCTCCCTTCCTCTCTGAAATCAATAAAACTATATATTTTTAAAATGCCTCCAGATATTGCCAACTGTCCCTTGGGGGCGGGGGGGCGAAATCACCTCGGGTTGAGAACCCCTGCTCCAGCAGATGGAGCGTGACAGGCACTGTTAGTCTCCCGCTCCAAGGACAGCCCTGGACGCAGAGCATTTGTCCTGGCACAATGAGTGGGCCGGCACGTGCAGAGCCCAGTGGCAGGTGGTCAGCTCCGAGCAGCCTGGCAGCAAGCACCAGGAGCGTGGTCAGGGCTAGGACCCCATCTGCTGGGAGCCCAGCAGTCAAGCAGGGTCAGATCACAGCTCATATGACGTTGAACCTGGGCACATCCTGTCACTCTTTCCTTTCCTAACCAGGACCAGGACTGGGTCCAGGGTCTGGGCAGGACCACACCCTGGGGGAGGGAGTGAGAGCTTACCTGGAAGGTCATCCCACCCCTAATGACCTTCATGATGTCTAGCTGAAGAGCACAGGCTTCTGGGCAAGAGAGACCTGGTTCAAATCCAGGCTCTGCTGCATGGAAATTAAACCTAAAAAGAAAAAGAAACACCCCAGACACTGACCCTTAAAACAGGGAGACCACCTCAGCCAGGTTGCTTACCCTCTGAGCCTCTGGCTCCTCGTCTGTGATATGAAGATGATGGCGCCAGCCTCACCTGGTGGTTGTAAAGAGTAAATGTCCTGTTGTAATGACCGTGGGTAGCATACACCCGCCACGTAATGGGCGCTCAGTGAATGCTGTTGATTGAATGAGTGAGTCCTTTTGCAGCAAACCTTGCTCCTCTAAATCCTTTTGTTATTTTAGTTCTCTTCCCTGGAATTTCTCCAGCTTTCTAACATAGGAAACCGTTGACTTCTCAACCGGAGGAAGTGAGTTATTCCTCTCTGTATAGCATCAGGCCTGGAAGATAGTCAGTGCTTAAAAAATGAAGTTTCCTTTCTCGACGGGCAATGACTGTGCCTTAGTCATCTCTAATGTAGTCATAACCCAGCACAAAAACTGACATGGTAGGTGATCATTGAATGAATGAATGAATGAATGAATATACAAAAATGTTGAAGAAAGCCATGGCCCAGGCACGACCCCAGGATCCTCCCTAGGAATCCATTCCTACAAGTCACTTAGGAAGGACATTGCTGCTTACCAGGAGGAGGTGTCCTCACCAAGGCGCTGGGTGACAGAGGAGGAACTCGGGCAGAACTTCTGTGTCCCGGGCAGCTGCTGGGGCCCCTTCCCTGGGGCCCACTGCAGGCTGTTCTCCCTGCCCCCGCACCCCCCTTCCACCACCCGCCCCCGGGAACTGGTCCAGCCTTCATGATCCTCCCTGCCACAGCAGGCCGGGGTGGGTCCTCCTCCCTCGGGAGGTGGCAGTGTGGGCTGTACCCTGCAGGGTCAGCTACATAGACATAAGAGTGGTGTTTGTTACGAAGACCCACGGCTAGTGAGTCAGGAGACCTGGGTTCTGCTCCCATCCCAGTCACCCACCCACGCAGTGACCCTCCCTGGACCTGTCTCCCCATCTGTACAATGCGGACTTGGCCATGCTTGGGACAGTTATATCCTTTGGTGCGTGGCCAGGGATACAGGTCAGTCCACAGCCCTGTCACTGAGCAAGTGACTCACATGGGACACCAACCAGTGACCTCAAGGCACTGCTGGGTTTCTCAAAGCCACCGGCTCCCCAGGCACCTGGGTGCTGCAGGGCAATGAACACAGTGTCAGGTGATCATCTGCTCCGAAACCTGGACGTCTGATGAAAGCTGCAGGGCAGGGCGCAGGTAGATTGTCCCAAGGGGGCTAAAGATTTTCAAGGGGGACCCTCAGGGTCTCATTGATGGGGGTGTGGGGGGAATGTTTGTGAGAGCAGACGTCTTTTCTAGAACTCCCCCATCTCTCTTCCCTTCCACGGTGCAGAATTAACTGACAAATAGGTGCTTTCCCTTTGCTGAAGTCTGTGAGGACAGGTGGGGGAGCACCAGCCCTGGAGAGCTGGAAGGAGCCAAATTCCCTCGCATCAGAACAGGAGCCCGGAAAAGAGGGGTGGGCGGGCTGGGTCTAGAGAGAGGAGCAGCGAGAGGTGTGGAGAGGGAACGGCTCTATACAATTCGGGGTGAGCTGAGTTGCTCTTTCACTGAGAGGCATGGAGAGAGGAATAGTAGTGCAGGGCCTTGGGGGAGTAACTCAGCATTTCTGTGCCTCAGTTTCTTCATCTGCAAGCTAAGGGTAATAGAACCTTCTCCCTAAAGGAAAACACTTAGAATCGTGCCTGGCAAGGAGTAGGGGCCGTGGAGATGTGTGCAGTGGTGATGGTGGTGGTGGATATAAAAACCCGTGAAATCTTCCAGAGAATTTATATCACTTAGTGGGGGACTGAGCAAATGGCTCTCCTGGGACCCGGCAGGGTGCCAAATCCCGCGGGTACCCATGCAGCCAAGACGGCCAACAGCAGGCAGGACCGTCACCCGAGCTCTGCTGCATCACCAGGGACTGCCCAGAGCCAGCACTGAGGACCAGGGCCCTGTCAGACCCGGAGGGCATGGGGCATCTGGCCTGCATGTGGCTAAACCATCCAAAACTTGCTGTGGGCCGAACTTTGTCAGCAGCCTGCTTCCCATGAGGACACTTCCCCCAGCCGGAGGCTCGGACCTTCCAGCTGGGCTGGCTCCGCTGGCAGGCTGTACTCCGGGGATATTTTCAGATTCTGGGTGACATTCCCCGGCCCCTCGGTCTAATAGGTCCCAGATGCTCCCTCCTCCTCAGCCTCCCTCCCTGCTGCTGTCCTGAACCCCCGCGCTGGCCTGCGGGGCTGCTGGGGCCGCCTCGCCCAGTCACTACACCTCTTGCCTTTTTCTTTTTTAATTTAAAACATTTCGTTCCCCTTTAACACGAGGGCTTGACAGAGGCCAGCATCAAAGAGGCTGTTTCCTCCTGGATGGGGACCAGGACAGAGAAGCCGGCCGATGAAGGTGGGGAGAAGGAAGCCGCCTTGGGAACGTGAGGAGAAGGGGAAACATAAGGAGTCTTTATTGGCCGAGCATAAAAGAAGCAACTGGAGTAGCAGCTGTGTTACCGTGCCCAGGTCGCCAGGGGCTGGGCAGACGCACCAGCCCAGCTGGGAATCCCACAGGCCCTGGGGGTTTCATGACTCATGTTCTGCAGAAATGCCTTCCCTACCTTCCCGCCCCACCCATCCTCCTGCCCCCTTTTGCAGAACATTTGAATTTGTCATTCTTGGGCATTGTCGGTAAGAGATAGGGTTATTGCTGAGGCCTGTGGGAGGGAGGGAGGCAAGTGGACAAAACTAGAAGGAAAGGGAAGGGGAGGGGAGGGAAGGGGAGGGGAGGGGAGGGGAGGGGAGGGGAGGGGAGGGGAGGGAAGGGAAGGGAAGGGAAGGGAAGGAAAGGGAAAGGGAAGGGAAAGGGAAGGGAAGGGAAGGGAAGGGAAGGAAATAGAAAAGAGAGGGGCGTGGAGGGCGGTGGGGCTGGAGCACAGAGGTGGGCAGTGAGAAAGGAGTAATGGGCAGTGACCCAGGATGGCAGGCGCATGACTCACAGCTGAACAGAAACCAGGACAGGCGGACAGACAGGAGGCAGGGGACCCAAGGAGAAGCCTCCTTCGCTCCTGCTGCTTCCTGCTCCTTTCCCACTGCGCTTCGTGGAAGCGTGCAGAGGACACGCGTGTGATAATCACAGTCTCGTTCGGTTCCGTACACCTTGATCTTCTCAGTGGGCCTGGGGGCACCCCGCCCTGAGTTCTGCAAAGCAGCTGTATGATGAGCTGGGGTGCTTCCCGAGGAGCCCATTCTGTGGGGTGGGAGGCTGAGGCGGGACGTCAGGGCCCAGCAGGGCTGTGCCTGGGGCCCAGGTCTCTGGGTTTCTCACCCAATAATGAGAATTTGGAGATGAAATAAAGGGAGAAGAGATGATGGTGGGGAAAGTGGGCTGGGAAAGTGGGCCAGGAAAGTACAGGCATCGAAGACCAGATGGAAACCCCGCAGCTGCAGGATTCTTGGACGCTGCTTCTAAGGCAGCCCTCCCCACACTTTCTTCAGCGACACTGACCCGGCATTTTCTCTCTCTTTCAGGACCTCCTGTAAGTAACCCCAGCCACAGCCTGTTCTCGCACATCCGAAAGGCCTTGCTCCCTGCTGGTAACCGGGCCCTGGGCGGGGGGGACGGACAGCTGGCCCTGCTGTCTTCCTGGGGAGCCCCTACACCCTGCAGAGCAGTCTGCAGGGCCCCTCTGTTACAGACAGGGGACCTGGCCCTGGGTGGGTCTGCCTAGGGCCGGCCCATAGTGTGTGGGTTCTTCATGCATGAAAAATTTCACAGCATATGAACAGGTGACTATGAGGGTGCATTTATTACAGCTGGGGGCAGTGGAACAGGAGGGGTTTAGCATAGAAGAAGCCACAGGAGAACCTAGGCTGGGCTCTCTGATTCTCTAAAAACGTCACAGAAAATAAGTGAGCAGGGGCGGGACTGCTCACTGGGAAGTCAGAGAAAAGGGGACCTTGGAGACAGGTTCAGGGGGTGAGCCCAGGATTGAGCCGCCGCTGCTCATTGCTGCCCTGGTTGCAAGTCTCGTGGGGTCCCTTAGAGTTTAGGATACGCACGCCTGTGGGGGAAGAAGAGGAGGAAGGGAAGCGGGGGGGGGGGGGGGGGCTCCCAGAGAGAGAGCTCACACTGGGCCCTTTGTCTGGAGGGTTATATCTCTCTTTTGCAGGCGGGGAATCTTAGGGGAGGTCTCAGGGGAGGGTGTCAGCAGAATATGCATCAGGTTCCAGGTCTGCGCTTTCAGGGTCCTGGTCTCTACTGATGGGTCGGCGCCAGGGCCGGGTTCCTTAGTCACTGCAGCTGGTCCTGGCATCGCCCCCGGGTTTTGCTGCTGTTCTGGGCCTGGAGCTGGAATACGACTGAGGCCTAGATGTTCTCTAGGAGGTGACCTTCTGCATCTGCTGTAAATTGCCTGCCCAGTTTGTTCAGCTCTCTGCCTCCGTTCCCAGTTCCACTGGTCCTGGCTCCCAGGCCTGTCTCGCCTCCAGCAGGTTGACACAGGGGAGAGGGCCGCCATTTTGCTCTCCGCGCACCTCTGCACCCCTCCAGGGCCAGACAGCGGCGGTCCCCAAAGCAGGTCCCAATTTCAATCTGAAAGGCTGGCAGGCTCCATTGTTCGCCCAGCTCCTTTGTCCCTAAAGAGTTGGAGTCAAAGAAGCACCAGGTATTAAGAGAAGAAAGAGCATCTCTATTCAGCGCTGGTCCTTGGAGGCCTCCTGCCCATTCCGTGAGCAGGTCAGTGAGCAGCTCTCCGTGCGGACGGGTCCTGAGGACGTGATGTCCGCCCCGCCGTGTGGGCAGCTCCGTTCTAGCCGCGCCACTTTGGACCAGTGGTGGTTGCTATCAGGAGAGCAGTGTCGGCAGTTAGATCGGGAGACACAAATCACAGGCAGCACCTCGGCTCCTTCCCCTGGCGTCGCGAAGGCCAAGGGCGGGGCGGGGAGCCTAGGCGTTTCCAGAGAACCTGAGAAGCGTTCAAGGAGACTGGCCCCCGAAGTAATAGATGCAGAGAACAGGAGCGGGTCTTCTTGAGGACAGCATTTGATACCCCAACAAAAGGCCCCGAGGTCACAGGGGCGGCTGGAGGCGGGAGTTGAAAGGGCCCGGCCCTCGGCATCAGATCTTTCTCAAGGTTACTGAAAGCAGCCGGTGCCATCCCTCCGCAGAGAAGGCATTTCCATCCTTTCTTCCTCTTGACCCGTGCCTGTGAGAGCGCCGGCCCAGTCGGTAGTAAGACATGATTTACTCTTCCACGTGTGTCCCGAGCAGTGCATTGAGCCCATGCACCGCCTCCCAGTTACAGGGAGGGAAGAAAATCGTGGTGCTCCCTGAAAGGGGGGGTGATTTATCCTGACATGTCTTGGATGACAGACCTCAATTCCTGCCATCAATCTTCCAAAATAAACTCTGCCATCAGAGACCTCGACAGACCACCTGCTGGAACTGGGCTGCTCTCCCCCTTCTTTTTGGACAAAGCCAAAAGGCGTCCTCATCTCCCCACTCCCAGGACTTCCCCGTTCACTTCTCCCCACAGCCAGGCTGCTGGGCTCACCTGGTGGCTCAGCTCAGGGTCCCTGCCCGTTTGCCTGGAGGGCCTGCCCTCACCGGTAACAGAGTATTCTGAGCTCTGTTCCCAGCCAGAGAGGGCGCTGCCCCTCCTGCGGGCTCTGCAGTGCAGGAGCAAATGGGAGGGTTGCATCTGAATCTCCCGTTGTAATCCTGCCCACCTGGGCACCCCCAGAGCCATCGAGTGAGGGGGAGGAGTCCCAGAAGCTGCCCCACATTCTCAGCCTGACACAGAGGAGTCCTGAATCTTTCAACCGGGCTCAAACCACAGGCAGGATGAGGAGGAAATGGGAAGCTGGCCAGGGTGGGAATCACCGCCTAGCCCTGTTTTCTCTGCTTCTGCAAAGAAAGAATGCCATTGGCCAGAGGTGAGGGGTAGGGAGACGGCAGCTGGTCGCAACGCCTGCCTGCTGCCCCCTGGTTGTGTCTCAGGGACCCCTCTTGGGGTGGCTCTGTACTCCAGTCGAAAGACCCACGTTACTGTGGGCACAAGGACTGCCAGTGGCTGGAGAACACAGCCTGGGAAGGTGGCTTTCGGTAGCAGGAATCATTTAAGGGGTACGAAATGTGTGGCCACCACTGCCCAGCCCCTCATGCCCATGGCAGACATTGCTAATCAATTAGAAGGCCTTTTACCATAGTGTTTTTATTCAACCCGTTGGGGTCCACACTCATGCTGACATCTGTTGGCCATGCCTGCACTAGATGTAAGAGAGAATTCTTAATGGTGGGAACCATGAGACTGAAACAGATGACTGAGGGAAGAAGGGCTGTCTCTTTCTCTGGAGGAAGATAGGGAAATCTATGATGGCCAGCTGTCAGCCTGGGTCGACTATGATCCTTCAAGGCCCTCCCCTCATGTTGTTCATGAAATAACAGAGGCTCGTAGAGCAGAAGCGACTCCAGGTCACATAGCTGGTGGGGCAGGTATACAATACCCTGACCTTCACACACTTCTCTCTCCCCCTTTATTTCAGGGTCCTGTTGGAAGACCCGGCCTCCCGGTGAGTAGCTTTCATTTCTTCTCCTGCATCTGTCTCATATGCTCTTCCTCAGCCCAAGCGCCGCGAGGTTGGGTGGCTGCTTTCCTCCAGCTGTGGCGGGACGAGCGGCCTCTCTCCAGCTTCTCTGGCCCGTAGCTGAGGGGGAAGCTCCCCGGTACCTCCTGGGCCCAGACAGGCAGGTGACAGCACGCAGCCCCTCCCACGCTGGATCTGACTTCCAGACTGATGGCCGGTAATGGAGGCCTGAGAGGGGCAGCCTCTTGCACACCAGCTAGGAGTAAGACCACTGTCCCTGCCTTGTCCTAGGCCCTCTGGTGAGAGTACACTCACTCAAAAACTTGGTTTTCCCCCCAGTTACCTTATCCGAAAGCTAGAGAGGCTGTGCCAAGTAACCGTGGAGGCTTTGAAATAAAAGTAGAAATAATACTAATAGTCACCTCTCATTGAGACCTTAATACGTGCTAAGCACTATGCCAATCACTTTTCATACATTTGATTTGTCAGCGACTCAGTGAAATGGATATCATTATGTCCATTTTATTGATGAGGAAACTAAGACACAAGAGGTGACATCCCTTGTCCAATGGTCCAAGCTTCCGTTGTAAACCTCTCGGAAGCCCCTGTTATCACACACCATTCCGTACTGCTGTTCCCTGTGGTCCATGCTCCATGTCTGAGAACCGTCTTTAAAGTCTTCACAGGCATTGCTCTGTAGGGTGTAGCCTGGGACACATATGCATTGAGTACTGGAGACTGTGGGCCCCTGGGTGGAGAGGGACTCGGCAAGACGCCGTAGCCAGCCAGAGAGCGGAGGCGAGGTGTGGCGTGTGGCCCAGGGCTGGCACCAGGTTGCCCTCTCTCCCTGCGCCGAAGGCCACATGCATTGAATTCCAGACCCGTGTGCATCCCTCTCACCCCAGTTACTCCTCTTTGGACATGGATTATACTGTAACCTCGTGGCTAATCCAACAGCTTCTAGAATTCATGTCCAGCAGTGACTTTCTTAATGAAATGCATGTGGGAGAATATTTAGCCTTGAAAATGGAAACTCGCCCAGTAAGTCCGAGCCCCGAAGCAGAGGAGGACGGGTGAATCGGTCCCATGAAACCCAAGGAGGGGGGAAATCAGATGACTGGGGGAACGTGGGCAGACTTTGTTTTTCTGACAACGTCCACCTTTAAAAAGCATTTGGGGGCAATTCACAGAGCAGGGCTGCTGCACAGTTTCCAGTCTCTGGCCACTCCGCGCCTGTCCCGAACCCCAGCGTTTTATGGCCAGGACTGCAAAGAACATTAGTTTCAAAAAAGAAATGAAAAGAAACCAAAACACACATCCTGCAATAACATTCAAAAGCCCGAGAGTAAGTGGGCCACGGGGATGTCACACCCGACGGTCAGCGGGCCTGGTGCCCGCGGCAGAAAAGGGCCACTGAGCCACCGGTCACGGTCCTGCTCCTGCGTCTGCATGAAGGGACCTGGGAGTGACCCCCAGGGGATTTGCTGACGCTGGCCCATTGTGAAATGCAAAATGTGGGAAGGATAAACATGCTCACAAAATCCACGGGCCCGCTGGCCTCCTCCCCCTGGATGCCATTTACACAACACTCCCCAGGTGTCAGCACCGGGAGGAAGCTTTCCAGAAAGGACATCTGAGGGCTGCCACCCAGCAGCCCATGAGCGAGGTGCAGACGCTCAGGGAGGCTAAGGAAACAGAGCCATGCGTAAGGCCAACGCCGCGGCCCTGCCACATAGCAAAGGCCAGCGTTTCACTCAAGATGCCCTTGGTCTTGACAAGGCACACGTCACCAGAGCCTAATTTCAGAGCCAACTGCTACTCTCTGGTGCGCCCACGTGTATTTTGGGAACTACTTGTCCCTCGGGGCACTTTGCCTCAGTGCGGTCCGCAGACACGGAATCACCCCAGAAATGCCCGCACCTTCAGGAGGGTCCACAGCCCAGCTTCGCCCGCTCAGCAGGACAAACACCATCTGAGTTTTGGCCCCCACTGCTTTCCATCTTTGCAGGCTCCCAGCAAACCCAGGCCCACCCCAGAATTTATGATGTCTGCACACGTGTAATTGCAAAAAAATGTTTTCTTACCAAAAGGGGGAGGAACAAAACTTAATAAGCAGATTTCCAGAGTGAGAAGATGTAACCCTGGCTACAAAACAAAGCATTTCCCCCTGGGCAGCTGTAGCTCGTGATGCGGCCGCATCCACAGGCTCACAGTCCCTCCTGTTGGTGCTGGCGGTGGCTGCATGGAGGGGTGTGGAAGGGCAGAGGGCCTGGGAGGAGCCGGGGAGTGTGGGCACTGCTCCCCAGCTTTGGCAAAGGCAGATCTAGGAAAGTGCTTCACGTATATGTTATATGGGAGCTGCCACTCACCCTGCTCTGTGCCTGGAAGCTGAGTGACAATGATCTAAGGGAAGAAGAGCCTGGGACTCCTAGTGGAACACATAGGGAAACCCAGGCTGGGGACCAGACTCCTACATGAGCGCTCTTACCGCAGCACCAGGCCTGAGTGCAGATAGCGGTAGGGGTGGCTGCTTGCAGAACAGTCCGTAGGGGTCAGATGGGCAAGTTCACGCACACGATGCCTGGGCACCGTCCCAGCTGCCCATGCAAACCCGGTCTTGGGTGCACAGTTCCCAGGGGGCCCTTCACATACTGTCCCAGCTCCAGCCGCATCTAACTGTCTCTGCCTCCTTCATCAGGGGGACAAAGGTGCCATTGGGATGCCCGGACGTGTGGTGAGTTGGGGCATTTTTATCTGCTTGGGTGGCCATTGCTTGCTTCTCCACGCTGGCCTGTCCTCCAAACCGTGACAAGATGCTGCCTGCCCCAGGGGCGAGAGGAGAGGGCAGGGGATTTGGACCTCTCCCTCCCCCCGCCCCCACCCCGCCCAAGTCAGCTGCAGAGAGGGACAGGCCAGGAGGAGAGGAGTTTTATTTCAGCTCGTCAGCTCTTCCAATGTGGCTTTACTCTCCAGAGAGCTGCCATGGCAAAGGGAAACTCCAAGAAAAAGCATCACTAAAGCTCTTTGCCCGTCACCCTGGGAGGACAGGGTGAAGCCAGAACCCCTCTTGATAGTGTGAGGATTCCCACCCTCTCCACCCCTGAGGCTGGCAGCTCACCCTCAGATGTATAGCGGCTCCTGCAGCCACCACCCCCACCCCCAGCCCCCTTCCCCCCTCCCCGAAAAAAGAGATACAAATAACCGCGCCGGGGGGGGGGGGGGGGGGGGGGTGGATGGCGGGAGAGAAATGCAGCCGCCAGGTGCTCTCTGGACACCACGTGGAGCGGCTTCTGGAGGCTTCTTCCCTAGACAGAGCCTAGATGGTGCAGGTGAAGCTGCTCCAGGCAGTGCTTCCAAACCCTCACCAGGAGGCCGGGAGTCAAACACGTAAGGGCTCCTGCTAAAAATTAGATGGTGAAAGGGAAACAGGAGTGTTTGACAGGAGAGTGTTCAGGGATGGGGAGGCCGGCCCTGGGCCTGCAGGTCCCAGTGCTAGGACTTTCCTGGTGGCTTCCAGCCTCTGAGCGGCTAGGAAGGGCAGGACAGACTCGGGCTGGCAGCCCAGGGCCCTGATGGCCATACCCGGCCTCACCACCACCCTGTCTGACCCCTAACTCCCCTCCTGCCATCAGCCTTGACCTTCAACCTGGCTCCCGGGTGCTCCCTGATTACCCCTCTGCCATCCTTCCTCACATGCTTTTCCTCAGCACCTCACCGCCCGGGCTGGTCGGCTGTAGGCCTGGGTATGGCATCCTTGTGCAAATTTGCTTGCTGGTGTGAGCCTGGTGCCCAGCGCGAAGGCATCCAGACCACAGCTAACGCTGGAGAGTGCTAACTGCATGCGGGCGTTGTGCTAAGAGCCTCCGTGCATCGCTCACTCGGTCCTCACTAGAACCGTAGGAGGTAGGCGCCGTTTCCACCCCCATTTTTCAGGTGAGGAAATTGAGGCTCAGATGTTGTGTCTTTCCCAAGGTCACATGGCCAGGAAGTGGCTGATCAGGGCTTTACTCCAGGCAGCCTGACTCCAGACCTGTGCCCTTGACCCTGGCAATGCTACTTCCCCTCCCCAACACTGGCATCACGGCTCTAAGGAGGGTCCGATCCTTAGGGTGGCACCTCAGGACCTAGGTCTAGGATCCAGGACGTTTCAGAGGGTCAGGACAAGTGGTGTTCCAGGTCACAGAGCTTTGAGCTCCCCAGGGCGCTCCCCCCACCTCCCAGGCCACAGCACTGGCCCTGACTCCCTCCTTCTGTTCTCTGACTCCAGACATGAGTCCCCCAAGCTGCACTGGGTCCTGCTCTGAGGAGAGCAGGGAAAGGACATTCAGCCAGCCTTTCTCAGGGGCTTGCTGTGGGTGGGCTAAGCCAGGCACAGTCTCCACTGTAGCCCTCCAAGAGGGATCCCACTTTATTGATGGGAATGTTGAGGCTCAGGCCAGGGCTGGGGTGGAGTTGGCTTTTGTACCCAAGCTGACCGTCAGACTCTAAACTCTTTGTGCCTAACAGGTAAGCTTCGGAAACTCCACTCAGAGCGCAGCCACCAGGCTGCTGGCAGATTGCCAATGAAAGCTGCCCCTCCTGCTGCCCCTCAGGGCCTGCCCCTCCTGCCCTCCTTCTTGGGGCCTGTGGGCATGTTCCCCCAGACAGTATCCCTCTGAACCTAGTCCTGCCCACTGGAGGCAGAGCCACGGGAGGTCTCCCCATTTCCTTCCCCACACAGCTATTTTCAAGCTGAGGGTTTCCTGCTGCTTGTGCTATTTTAAATGTGACAATGGGCCCATTTGGCTGCCCAGTAGTAGTCCTGGCAGGAGCCACCTGATAAGAACTGGGGTGGCCAGGAGGTGTGAAATGCCTGAGGAGTTGTCCCGTGGTTCACCAGGGGTGGCACCACTGGCTTCTAAGGATTAGGGTCCAGTGGGGCTGTCTATCCACTGGTCACTATGGTTACAGGGACCCTGGGCCATTACCCAGTTTCCTCTGCATCTCAGATCCATCCTCCATCCTCCCAGATGTGTGTGTCCTACTATCTGTCCTCCCATGTTGCTCCAACCCCTCTCCCACCATCTTGCCTGGCCAGCCCTAAGGACTCCTGGTGTGTCTGCTGTGCTTGGTGCTCAGTTAGACCTTCACACCAACTAGATTCCACTCCACAACGCAGTCCCTGGGAAAGTCTCCCCATGGCCACCCAGATGGGGCCATGACTTCTCAGGCAGATTTTCCAACCTGCGTGTTCTCTCTCTCTCTCTCTCTCTCTCTCTCTCTCTCTCTCTCTTTCTCACACACACCACACACACACACGCACACGCACACATGCACGCAGGCTTGGAGAAGGCCTCTGTTATCTGGAAGGGCTGGGGCTGGCTGGGGCCAGACCAAGGGCTGAGGCAATAGCCATGCACACGCGGTGCTTGCCAGAGGCGGGACCTGTCATGTGTCAGCATCTGTGTTTTGTTTTATTTCTCATTTCACGGCGATTTCTTTTGTTTGGTTGTTGTGCCATTAACACAGATTCTTGTGTGTGCGCCTCTCTCTCATCCTTTCTTTTTCTCTCCCTCCCTCTCTCTCCCCTGCACCCTGTGTTGCATGTGGCTGCCCCAGGGAGTAAAGGGCCAACCAGGCGAGAAGGTGAGTCCACACTTTCCCCTCTGCCCTTCCGCCCTGGCAGTTGCGTCCACCCCGTGGACTCTTGGGGGCTTTCAGAGGCCCCAGCTCAGCCCTCCCGCTGGCATGCCCGGGGAGCAGAGCTGCCAGCTGGGCCTGCGGGCCCTCAGCCTCTCACGCCGTTTCCTAACAGCTTCCACACCGTCAGGCTGGGGTCTTGGGATTCCTGGGCTGAGCCCCAAGCCTCCTAGCGAGTGGGTCCTCCCACCCCCCGCCTGCTGAGCTGCCTGTGCTGGTGCCTACAGCTCTGACTCTGGGCCTTGGGCAGTCACCCTTCCCAGAGGCAGGGAGAGCACGTCCCTGTTCTGAGTGGGATGCGGCCTCCTGCCCCCCTCCCAGCAGGCACTGCCTGGGTCCTTCTGTCAGAGCATCACCTCTCATCCCATCTGCTCCATACACCTTCATCCTCCTTCTGTTGCCCTCCCCACCACGCAGAACCCCCTGTGTCACCCTGAGCCAGGACTAGGAAGTTCCAGGCAGCTCCGCCTCAGGCTCAGGGTGCTGGGCCCACACGGCCAGTGTGTGTCGTGTCCCCCGCTCTATTTCAGCAGCTCCATCCAGGGGGCAGGCTGCTGTCCCTCAGATGCAGGGTGGGCAGCCCCCATGGGGCATTTTGGGGATG